CAAGGCTGGCACTCTTTACCACTTGGGCCACGGTGCTATTTTGGGCTTTTTGCTGGCTAATTGGTGATGAGTCCCATGGACTTTGCTGCCTAGGCTGGCTTTGAATTGTGATCCACAGATCTCAGCCTCCTGAGTTGCTAGGATTACAGGTGCAAGCTACTGGCTCCTAGCAAAAATCTTCCTTTTCTTGAAGTAGCCTTATGAAGATTCTAATCCTTGCAGGCCAGCAGGTGTGACTGTTAACAGCCCTTAACACCCATGTACCTCCTGTGTTCTGTGGTTTTGGAGGTCCCTCTGTACCCAGTTGCAGGCTTGCAGAGGGGGGGTGGGTTGTGCATGTTGGCTACTTGAGAATGAAACCTCACAAACACTGAAGACCTTAGTCTATGCCAGAAAGAGGACCTCTAACTAAGTTTTCCTCTAAGTCCTCACACAGGGTTGACCATGCCCATGGCACATGCCTGATCACTTATGTTCTTTGCGCTTCTCCTGTCCCACAGTCTTCTCCTTTCACCTTTCTTTTAAAAACGAAAGCGTAATTCATATAGCATATACATACAACATAAATGTGACTATTTTGGAATACATGATTCAATGATTTAGCATATTCATAAGGTGTGTAACCATCACCACTGTCAGATTTCAGATGACACCATTTCCCCAAAGAGATACATCTCCCCACTGGTAGTCTCTGTTTTTTCCTCTTCCCAGCCGTTGTAAACAAGAATCTCCCTCTATCTCTGTGCATTTGCCTTTTGTGGTCATTTTCCTAGAAGCAGAATCATTCATTTGTGCCACTATGTATTGGTTTCCCTCACCTAGGATATAGTATGCATATATACGTTCACTGCCCTTTACAGCTGAATACAGACCACCACACAATTGTCTCATGTTCTGGCCATTCTTTAGTTGATGGGCATTCAGTTGTTCCCATTTAGGCTGCCATGGGTAAGGTTGCTATGGGCACATGCCTGCAAATTCTCGTGTGTGTATGTGTGTGTGTGTGTGTGTGTGTGTGTGTGTGTGTTTTATGCAAGAGTGAAGAGCTGGGGACCATAGGTTGAATCTCTTACAAACTGCCAGGTTCTCCTGGGATTTCAACTGGCAGTGCAGCCTCCTGAGGCCCTAAGAGAATCTCAGCATCACTGAGAAAATCCCATTCTCTAAAAAGTCCCAGAAGCTCTGTCCCAGAAATGATGGGTTTCTTAGACTCCAGTATCCTTACCTTTTTAGTAAGCACCACAGATTTTCAAGGTTCAGATTTTTTTTTGGGCCAATACTGGGTTTGAACTCAGGGCCTGCTCACTGTGCCTTAGTTTTTTTGGCTTAAGGCTAGAATTCTACTACTTGAACAACAGCTCCATTTTTGGCTTTTTTTTGTGAGTAGATGGATATAAAAGTCTTGTAGACTTTCCTGCCAGGGCTGGCTTTGAACTGCAATCCTCAGATTGCAGCCTCCTGTGTAGCTGTGACTATAGGTATGAACCCCTAGCTCCAAGCTCAAAATGTGATACTGTAGAGGATGGCAGTGTAGTGACTCAGAGTCAACCCAAGACACAAGAAGATTGTTTCTTGGTGCAATTTAGATGAGGAGAGAAGAAAACTATGCAGGGTTCCTGCACAGGGAAAGAAGAGCAAGCCACAGCATGTTAGGGCTAGGGAGTCCCACACAGGCATTTTTATCTTCATTTTCTGGCAGTACTGGAGTTTGAACTTAGGGCCTTGCTTGCTAGGCAGGTGTTCTACCACTTTATCCAAGATCCTTTGGCTTTTAGTACGGTTTTCATACCTCTGCTGCTGCCTCTGCTTCTCAAGTAATTGGGATTATAATCATGCATCACTATGCCCAGCCCTATCATGTCTCTTTATTGCATCATTTTTCTTGCGTAGCTTAATCTCATGTGGTTTTGTTTAACACAGCCCCAGCAATAGGCTGTTATATATTAACATTGGTGTCTATCTACATGTAGCTCAGGTGTGTGGAAGGCTCTATCATTTGGTCTGTATAAGTACAGCCTGATATCACACAGATATGAAGCTTCCCAATAATGCATTCAGTTATCAGTACACATCCTTGTCACTGACATGTCTTTCTTTCAAGCAGCACTCACTGAGCACCAATTTCCTGAAAGAACATCTTTCTAGAAACAGAGTGGCAAAGACAGAAAAGACACACTTCCTGGGGAGCTGAAAGGCCAATGGACTGCACAAAAATGAGGATCGAGAACTGAGGCTGCCCTGAGGTCTGTCCACTGCTGATTTATGTGCATATTCTTTATTTTATGAAGTGACAACCATGGGCAATTGGCATGGCTTATATTGTTCTAGCATCTTATTTTTGGTTTCTGAAATCTCTCTAAGCAGCCCACAAATACTGAAAATAGTATACTAGTGAGATTCTGGTGCTTTCACATTGCTCTGCTACATCAACTGATTTCAAGTTAAGCATTTATCTAGCTAACATGAACTGTTTTGGATTTGATATTTTTCTATGGCTTACACATCAATTCCAGAATACAGAGCACATACAAGAAAGTTATCAAGAGAAATATTATTGGCCCAACAGGATCCTGTGTATGAAGAAGGATAAATATGTACAATCAGGATCATGAGGGGAGGGCAAGGCTGCTTCCTGTGCCCCTGAATGCCGGAAGCTTCAGTTCAGAGGGATAGAGGCTTTAGTTTAAAATGTTTTACTCCTAACAACACTAAAAAAGGAATCTCTTTCAAAGGCCCCAGGCTTTGTTTACGAGGCTATTTTTTAATTCCCTGCTTTCTGTAATTTGATAGGACAGAAGTGAAAGAAGCAGGTATCTTTCTGTTGCCTTTTCTTTCAGTGACACTGGGGGGTTGAACTTGGCCTCATGCTTCCTAGGTAGGCACTCTACTACTTAAAAGTACAGTTTCACTTCCAGCTTTTTGTTTGTTAGTTGGAGATAGGAGTCTCATGGACTTTCCTGCCTATGTTGGCTTTGAACCACAATCCTCAGGTCTCAGTCTCCTGAGTAGCTATGATTATAGGTGTGAACTACTGGTGCTGGCATTCTTTCTGTGGTCTTCTGTTTGTTGCGGAGCACCTGTCAGCCCAGGGCCCCTCAACTTACCTCTGTGGGCCTCAGTTTCTGTACTGGTAACATATATGAAAGAGGTAGCACTACTTTGAGGACTTGGGTATCTACCTATTGGTCCCAGAACAGCTGTATAAGACCAAATGATGTTGCTCTTCCCATTGAAATAATTTGCCCAGCCTCTCACAAAGTGATTGAGTAGAGAGGCTGGTATGTGGATCCTCATCTATCTATTGTGAAACTCATATTGTTTTTACATATCTTGTGTTAAATGAAATAATAAATTATATCACTATGTTGCTGCAACACCAAATTGTCTATTACTTATTTATTTTTGTTTAAAATAAGACAAATTTACAATGGCATTTTGAGTGTCACTGTGGCATACCCAAGGTTGGTCTTTGTTCAAGAAACATTCATAAAAGATCACAAGACAGGGGGCTGGGTAGAGTGGTAGAGTACCTTCCTTGCATGTCTGAGGCCCTGGGTTCGATTCCTCAGCACCACATAAGCAAAAAGAAAAAAGCGGGGAGTGGCACTGTGGCTCAAGTGGTAGAGCGCTAGCCTTGAGCTGAAGAGTTGAGGGACAGCGCCCAGGCCCAGAGTTCAGGCCTCACGACCGGACCAAAAAAAAAAAAAAAAAAAAAGATCACAAGACATCAATTTCCAGTGCAAATGTGTATAGGTTTTAGTCTGACTCTAAATTGTGCTAGAAGGTACAGTTGCTCAATATGGTTCTTTTTTTTTTTGGTCGGTCGTGGGGCTTGAACTCTGGGTCAGGGCACTGTCTGTCTGCTCTTCAGCTCAAGGCTAGTGCTCTACCACTTGAGCCACAGAGCCACTTCCAGTTTTCTGATGGTTTATTGAAGATGAGTCTCACAGTCTTTCCTGCCCAGGCTGGCTTTGAACCCCGATCTTCAGATCTCAGCCTCCTGAGTAGCTAGGATTACAGGTGTGAGCCACCGGTGCCTGGCTCAATATGCTTCTTTAGTGTATACTTCTACTGTCTCTGAGATTTTTCACTCAAAGCTGGTGCTCTACCACTTCAATCATACCTCCACTTCTGGCTTTGGGGTGGCTAATTGAGATTAGAGTCACAGCCCTTCCTGCCTGGGCTGGCTTTGAATTGTGATCCTCTGTTCTCAGCCTCCTGAGTACTTAGGGGTTCAGGCATGAGTTACCAGCTCCCAGGTCCTCCCTCAGCCTTTTAATGAGTATAAGATGACCATATTACTTTAAATCAAGGCCTGCTCTTGATCATAAATGTTGGTATTATTTGAAAACTTAATTTGAGCATTCCCTGTTTTAAAATTAAAATGTAACAATGAATGTTTATTTACATGATAACTTACAATTATGCCTGTAACTTCACATAGAAAGGAAAAAAGATAAATAGAGTTGAAAAACCACAGTAATGACAAAGTGAGTGAACCCCTTTCTGGTTCCTCCCAGAAACACTGCTTCCTAATGGATTTCTATTTGTCTGCCTACTGAACACATTTTATTTATAGACTTTCATTTATTTATTTTTGCCAGTTCTGGGACTTGAACTCAGGGCCTGGGTACTGTTCCTGAGTCTCTCTATGCTAAGGGCTAACGCTCTACCACTTGAGCCACAGTACCACTTCTGGCCTTTTCTGTTGATGAGGTACTGAGGAATCGAACCCAGGGCTTCATGAATACTAGGCAAGTATACTCTACCACTAAGCCACATTCCTCACTCAACATACAGACTTTTATAATCAAGGGAAACATTAGCTTCAGGGTTGTGAATGCAACTATGTTCTTTTTTTTCCTTTTTTTTTTTTGCGCCAGTACTGGGGCTTGAACTTAGGACCTTGCACTCTGGCTTAGCTTTTTGCTCAAGACTGGCACTCAACTGCTTGAGCCATACCTCCACTTCCAGCTTTCTTCATTGGGGGATCTACTTACTATTGTGCACAGTCGATCAGCTGGTATTCATTGGATCTCTCAAAGCATGCCTTCACCCCCTCGTCATCCCAGAGCTTCTTCACGTGATCGAAGAATTCCTAAAGTTTGAAAGAGATACAAGTAAGTAAATACATGCATTATAATCTTTAAGAAAAAAGGGGCAAGTTTAACATCCAAATTCTTTTCTTGTGGAAGTCTATATAAAGCAAAACACACATCTTATGCTTAGTAACATGAACAATGTACATAATGTTCTTATCACATCTTATCATCCATTAAACATTCTTATTGTTCCAGGAAGTTCCCCAAATTGAAATTTACAAAGAACTAATGTCATTCAATAACTTCAAACACAATTAACCACAATGTTATGGTTCTTAGTGTTAATAACTTAATAAGTTGAATGGCTGCCTCACCAATAAAACATATTCATCTGTCTTAGATGCTCCCTTAACTTTCCTATGTGAGCTATGATCAGATAGACTTGGGCAAGATGATGGATTAAATTTGGACCATTAGTCATACAAGAGAAACCTCCAAGTGGGCACTGGTGACTCATACCCATAATCCTAGGTACTCAGAAGGCTTTGATCTGGAGACTCATGGTTTGAAGCCAATCTGGGCAGAAAAATCTACAAGACTCTTATCTCCAATTAACCAGCAAAAAGCCATACTAGTGGTATGGCTCAAGTGGTAGAGCACCATCCATGAGCAATGAAGCTCACTAACAATGCAACAGTGAGTTCATGCTCTTGAACTGGCATAAAATCAAAAATAGAAAAAGAAATCTTTAAAAGTACACTTTTTAGTATAGTATTTTAAGAATATGTTTCAAGGGGCTAGGAAGGTGGCTTAGTGGTAGAGCGCTTGCCTTGCATGCCTGAGGCCCTGGGTTCGATTCCTCAGTACCACATAAGCAAAAAAGAAAAAAGCCGGAAGTGGCACTGTAGCTCAAGTGGTAGAGTGCTAGCCTTGAGCTGAAGAGCTGAGGGACAGCGCCCAGGCCCAGAGTTCAGGCCCCACGACCGGACACACACACACACAAAAAAGAATATGTTTCAAAGCACTTTTTGAGTTGTGTGAACATGAACTTTGGTTGATCCAAGAGCCAAGATGGGGGAGAATGATGGAAGGGGTGGGCTGGGAATGTGGCTTAGTGGTAGAGTGTTTGCCTAGCATGCGTGAGGCCCTGGTCTCAATTCCTCGGTACCACATACATAGAAAAAGCTTAAATGGTGCTGTGGTTCAAGTGGTAGAGTATTAGAGCAGAAGAAGTTCAGGGACAGTGTCCAGGCCCTGAGTTCAAGCCCCAGGACTGGCAAAAAAAAAAAAAAGAATGATGAAGCGGTGACGTTCCTCTTTCCCTCTGAGCAAACTTACTGAAACAGCCCTTGTCACTTTTTAGATTTGGTAGGCACTATACAATTTGTTGCCCTTTGTTAAGACAGTATATGTGTGCACTGGCTGCTTTGGGATTTTCAATTGTGTGCTCTGTGTACATAAAATTCAAAATATTAATTAAATTTGTATGCCTTCCTTTTCTCCTGTTAGTGTGCTTATTTGTCAGTTGAATTCAAGGCTCTGATCACTTAAGATAGGAAGGGGGAGAAAAGGTCGTTCTTTCCTATAATTGTTGTACAATTTCTAAAACAACTAGAAATTTAATATGAAGAATAAAAATTCAGTATACAACTAAGATGAATAACATTAAATGAAAATAATAAATGGGTTGAGTGTTTATATCTGAAAAGAAGGGCTGACTCACAGTAAAATGTAACCTATTTTTCACCTCTAAGAGTATACAGAAATGGAAAATATGAATTGTTTTTTTCTGTCTTATCAAAGATAAGAATCATCTTGTAATTTGTATACATTTAGCAACAAGTAAGCATTTGTTACTCTCTTTTGTGTATATTTGTGTGTGTGCTGGAACTTGAACTTAGAGGCTGGGTGCTCCTCTTTATCTTTTTTTTTTTTGGGTCCAGTTGTGGGGCCTGAACTCTGGGCCTGGGCGCTGTTCCTCAGCTCTTCAGCTCAAGGCTAGCGCTCTACCACTTGAGCCACAGCGCCACTTCTAGCTTTTTTCTTTTTGCTTATGTGGTGCTGAGGAATCGAACCCAGGGCCTCAGGCATGCAGGGCAAACGCTCTACCACTGAGCCACCTTCCCAGCCCTCCTCTTTATCTTTTCGTTTAAAGCTGGTGCTCTACCACTTGAGACATGGCTCTATTTCTAGCTTTTCGCTGAGCACTTGTTACTCTTATTTAAATGACTTTGAGTCTCATTATGGAAAATAAAAATTAACAGTATCAAATTTAAATCTAATTTTTAAAACAGTCTTAAAAATTTAATTTATTTGATTTTAAATTTGCCTTTCAAATCAAATTGTATATCAAATTTTGATATAAAATTGGAAAAAAAGAGGAATACCTAACTTCTCTATGTCAGATTCACATTTTTCTTCTGGCATTTCATTTTTTTTTTTTTGTCAGTCGTGGGGCTTGAACTCTGGGCTTGGGCGCTGTCCCTGCACTCTTTACCTCAAGGCAAGCGCTCTACCGCTTACGCCACAGCACCACTTCTGGTTTTCTAGTGGTTTATTGGAAATAAGAGTCTCACGGATGTTCCAGCCCAGGCTGGCTTTGAACTGCAATCCTCAGATCTCAGCCTCCTGAGTAGCTAGGATTACAGGCGTGAGCCACCGGTGCCCGGCTTGGCATTTCACTTTCATACTGAGAATATATACTCAACACTATCTTGGAATTCTCTGAGGGGTAACCATTTTTTTTGTTGTTGTTGTGGTTGCTTTGATTTTGCTTTTAAATAGAAATGAATATAGAAATATGAAATGTAAGAATAACATCTCTGGTAGAATTTCTGCAGCATGGTACACAATCACTTTTTACTTATACTTGGGATACACATTTCCATTTTGAAATGAAGTCGTCCCTTGAAATGAGGCTGTGCTGTGTGTCTTGAGCTCATGGCACACACTGCAGGGAGAGTCAGGCCAGCATGTCCTGGGGGCCCGCAGTCCCTGACCAGCCCTGCCCCATGAGCTGGTGGGACCCATCTCTGGTAGAATGGGTAAACAATGTTTCCTTTTTTTTTTTTTTTTCTCTTCTCCTGTTGGTCATGGAGCTTGAACTCAGAAGCCTGGGTGCTATCCCTGGGCTTTTTCACTCAAGGCTAGTACTCTATTATTTTGAGCCACAGTGCCACTTGAGAAAATATTATTATGCTGTATTTTCTAGGATGATTTACAGAAAACACCTCTCAAAATTTTAGTGTCAGGAATACTTCTGCATTTCTCAGGCAGTTGCTTTTTATGTTTTATCATGCATTAAAATTATTTTATTTTGGGCTGGGAAGGTGGCTCAGTGGTAGAGCGCTTGCCTTGCATGCTTGAGGCCCTGGGTTCGATTCCTCAGCACCACATAAGCAAAAAGAAAAAAGCCGGAAGTGGCGCTATGGCTCAAGTGGTAGAGCGCTAGCCTTGAGCTGAAGAGCTGAGGGACAGCACCCAGGCCCAGAGTTCAGGCCCCACAACCGGACCGCCCCCCCCCAAAAAAAAACAAAAAAATTATTTTATTTTTATTGGGTACTGGTGGCTTAGGCCTGTAATCTTAGCTACTCAAGAAGTTGAGATTTGAGGACTGTGGTTTGAAGCAAGCACAGGCAGAAAAGGCTGTGAGACTCTTATCTCCAATTAATCACCCCCAAAAGCTGTAAGTGGAGCTGTGGCTCAAGTGGCAGAGAACTTGCCATAAGCAAAAGAGCTCAGGGACAGGGCCCAGGCCTTGAGTTCAAGCCCCAGGATGGCACAAAAAATTAATTTTTATTATCTTTAAATAATTGTTCAAAGGGTTTCAATTCATTTTGTCAGTTTATGTATACAATGGATCTTGATCAATGTCACCCCTTCTGCCATTTCTCCCTGCCCATCTACCCCCAACACTTCTCATCCCCTCAAGTTTCATAGTTCTAATTTTACATCTGGGCATTAAGTATTATAACTATGTTTACATCTTACTCTTTTCTCTAGTTGTCTGACCTCCTCCCCTAAAGCGGTACCACTCTCAGATAAGACATGTTGCAGTCCTGACACAGTATTCATTTTGTTAAGCTATTAATTGTTCACAGAGGTTACACCAGACACCTGCTCTTACATGTACCATTCAGTAACTAGCTTGATAAAGTATACATATGATCTAGTATGTATCATATATGTTTATATTTTAGATTTAACTTCCACTTTTGGGAGAAAACGTGCCCTTTGCTGTTCTGAGTCTAACTTACTTCACCTATAATATTTTTCAGGTCTATCTATTTCTCTGCAAAAGAGGACACATATCTTTTCTCTTCAATGTTGGATGGATAAAATTCCGGATGGATAAAATTCCATTGTGTACATACATATACGTGTACACATTTCATTATTTTTGCTATCTATCTATCTATCTATCTATCTATCTATCTATCTATCTATCTATCTATCTATCTATAAGTCATACCAGTACTGGGGTTTGAACTCAGGGCCTGAATGCTTTTAGTTTTTTTTGCTCAAGGCTAGTGCTCTATCACTTGAACCATAACTCTACTTCTAGCTTTTTGGTAGTTAACTGAAATAAGAGTCTCACAAACTTTCCTGCCTGGGTTGCCTTCAAATCTTGGTCCTCAGATCTCAGCCTTCTGAGCAGTTAGAATTTAGCACGTGCCTGAATATACGTACTTGTTAATCCCATTGATCCTGACTTTTCTACTACATTTTATTTCCAGTCACTGCGCTGACTGTGTGAAAGGTTGAAGAGTGTCAGGCTGACCACCCTGGCATGTGTGTGAAGGGCTTTGGCCCTGGACACTGATTTCACTGCTGGTGTCACATGCCTCAGCCTCCTGTGCTCATTTCATTTTTTTGGCATTATCAATCACTTTATTTAACTTGTGCCGTAATTTGATGAGCAACATCAAATCCTTTCTGGAATAAGCTGAAGCATAAGCAAATATTTAATGTGACATTATAGAGCACAGTGAATCATGTCCACTACTGTAGTCTTAGGAATAGTTTTAGAACAATAAACATTGAATTGGATTATTCT